ATCCCTCTCTTTCTGTAAAGTTTGTTTCTGTAATACCTAATATTGTGACTTCTTCTTCTTTTGCTCAGCTCAGCAGACTATTGAGTTTCCATTCTTTGGTTTTGAGTCTATTAACATTGTGACATGCTATTTTAATCTTCTTTCTTCATTCCTTTCATTTTTCTTTTAGTTGTTCTTGTATTGTCTTTGCTGTTTCTTCTCTTTCTTTCCCTTTTTTGCTCTTACTTCTTTCTTCTTTTGGATAAGAATGTGTTTTTCTTTTTCTGTTTTTAAAACTTCTTCTTTCATCTTGTAAGAACTCTTCTATCTCCTTATCCATATTCATTAATTTAACTAAGGTGCCCTTAGAAGTGATTGGCTATGTCTTTCCCTATCATGTCACTTACTTTCTCTAGTTTTTCTAGTCTTTCTAAGATTCAGCCTAGCATATTTTCTATATATGTGTTCTTCTCTTGCTGTTGCATCTTATCTTTATTATTCCCTTCTCTTAGCTTTCTTCTTTCTCATTATCTATACTTTTATATCTTCCTTGGTTTTTAATATTATGTCTCAGGCTGCTATTTTCTTCTTCTATCATTTGAACTTTTGGTTTTAGTTCTTTCCAATCTTTCTTTCTGTTCATATATATTCTGTTTTATTGATTTCTTTCTTTACTTTTATCTTCTTCTGCATCAGAGTTTTGGCTTAATCTATCCCAGCTTCTTCTTTTTTTAGTCTTAAAACTTTCTCTACCTCTTGGCTCTCTTCTTTTTTTATTAATTCAATATACTTAGAAGTTATTGTACATTATTGGTTTTAACTGCACTGTCCTCATATCTCTTCTGTTATGAAAATAATTAGTGTTGTTTGCTTTTGGTTCTTATTTCAGTTTGGTAGAATATATACTGACTTTGTTTCTTTACTTCTCAAACATCACAATAATAAGACTTCTGAAGCATTTCCAGGTAGCTTGGTAAGTTTGGCTATATGTTTTCTTTGTCTTTCTCTTGCTTTATGGTCTTCTCTTTCTCTTGTTACCCTTACCAACTTATTATTGTCTGCAGGCAATGACCATAAAATATTTTCTTCTTTTATGCTTTGTGTTTGTATTACTGCTAAGACTTTGTACTTAAACCTTTTGATGCATATAATCTGTACATCTTTAATTCTTCTGCAAATATACTTTACTTCTCTTTTGTTTATATTAGCTGCTAGGTTCTATATTGTTAGATAAGTTACATTGTTACTGAATTTTTCTTCTTTCTCATATTCATTATTGTAAGATTCTTTTTTGTTAATGCCTTCTTTAACCTTCTTTTTTTTAAAACTTGGTATATGTTTTCCTTTATCTTGTTGTTCTTTCTTGTAATCTCTGAGTTCTTCTTCTTTTCCCTCTTTTTTTTCTTTATCTTTGGTATCATCTTGTACCAATTACTCTTTTTTTTATTAATTCTTTGTATAGCTTATTCATTGTCATAATTACAGTCAAAGACTACTTCTATCTACAGATTTCCTCTCTTGAATATTTCATCAATGTCTTTAACATGTGTATTATTCTTTAAAGACCACCTAATAAATTTTATATGTTCTTTTTTTGTTTCTTCAGGGACCTCATATGCTGGTATATTGGCAATTAGGCTGTTGTTTTGATTACAACTTCTTCTGCTTAGTGCTCATATACTTTGATCTTATGTTACTTCTATGATGTCAATTTCTTCTTTTGTTTCTTGCTTTCTTCTTTTTTGTTTTTCTTTTTCCTCTTCTAGTGTGTTTTGTCTTGATTGCTTATCATTCATTTTTATATCTTCTTGTTCACTTATATTTCTTTACTTTTTGGTATCTTGTTTCTGAACACCAGGTTCACCTATTATTTTGTTATTTCTTTCTACACTTATCTCTCTCCATTTTTCTCTTTGTGATGTAATTGTTTCTTTTTGCTTTCTTATATTTTCAATTTCTTCTTCTATATTTCTTTTCATTTTTTATTTTTCTTTGATGCTCTCTTCTTCATTTTTTTTTGTTATTATTTGCTATTCTCTGTTTTGGTTATACTGTATTTGTTTTCTTTCTGCTTCTGTTGTTAGGTCTTAGTTTTCTATACTTATATTAGTTTTTTTTCTAACTGTTCTTTTTTAGCTTTTTCTAATATTTCTTTTGTTAGTTATAAAAGTGTCATCTTATTTGTGTCTTGGTTTGTAAACAATGCAACAATTTTGTCTTCTTTATCTGGTACTGTATATGTTTTGCTTGCCTCATTGAAAAAAAATTTGTTATGCACACTATTTATAGTCTAGTATGTTTTTTTTATAAAGAGTACTTGTAAACTTTCTCTGTATTTTGCAAGAAGTTTTTTGTTCATATTTATGACTCTGTTCTTCTAGGATGTTCTATCACATGTTTGTTGTTTTAATATTTTTATTATTATTATTTTAAGTATATTATTTAAAATATATTTTTTAACTTATTGCTTTATAGATGCTTTGTTAAAGTAAAAATCAAGCAGTTTCAATTTATTTGTTCTTTTTTTAGAATCAAGTTGTAAATTTGAAAACTAAAGCAAGTAAAAAGACTTCATCAAATTTCAAGATGATCTAACAAGAATAGCAATAAAGCTCTATCTACAAGTGAGTAGTTATAGAAAAAAATTTGCTATAAGTTCAGATTACAAATTTAGAAAATAAGATTCAGAAGTTGCAAAAAAGGTTAAGAAAAAGAGAGAATTAAAGATATTTTTATAATATTTTGTAAATAGTAATAATAATAATAAAATTTAATTAAATATAATCAAATTTTTTTTTAAATTTTGTATTAAGTTTTTATAATTAATAAAATGATAATTTATAAATAATAAAATAATAAATAAATAATGTTTATAAAAATAATAATAAATATTAGGATTCATTAAGAGTAGAAAGCAGTACTTTAAAATTATATATAAACTTAATGGTAATTTTTTTTTATATTTAATTTTATAAAACATTATATTAAGTAAACTATTTTTAATAATTAAGTAAAAGTTGTAGAATAGGTTTTTTTGATTTTAATAATAGTAAAATTATTAAAATTGATTAAAAACTTATTAAGATATAAAATTTTAAAGACTAGAATATAAAATTATATAATAAAATTAACTTATAGGTTTATGTAAATTAACTAATCAAATTTTGTATTTTTTGTACTACTTAAGGAAATTTTAACTCATCTAAGTAAACTTTATTATATATACAAATATATTTTTTTAAAATAATACAATACTTCAAAATTTTACTATAATAGATAAATAATTTTATTTATAATATTATAAAATTTTTTTATTGATTAATTAAAAAATAAAAAAGTTTTATTAGTAACATATATCAATTAAATGAAAATTTTAATACGTATACTATACATATATCATAAATTACTATGTAAAAATGATCTACATGCCCCTTACCCTTAAACCATAACTCATGACAGTCATCAGTTAGACATTGTGATCTATAATGAATAACTTGTTATAAACATCTATCTCGTTTTTTAATAGTTTTAGAGATTATTTAGTTAGTATTTTGATTTTTTGTTTGCAAATCTGACTAATTGAAAATAAAATAAATCAAAATTGGTTATTATTAATAAATTATTATAAAATCATAAATCGATTAGCACCTTCGAACATACCAGACATTAGACTATTTTCGTAAATAATAAACTTAATAAATTTATCGAATCGGCATTCGGTTAATTTTTCATAAGATGTCCCAGGAATAATGATGCACCCGAACATCACATGACTAATATATCGAGCACTAAAAATTTGACAAAAATTCAGACTAACAAAATAATAACGGTAGGCAATAAATTAATCATTTTATTTATTTCGAATAATCAATAAACGTACAACCAGAAAGTATTATGATTAATGGTTTTTCTAAGTATTTGGAAATATTCCATTGCCTTTTAAATGATTATAATCCTTCAATTTATAGTACGTACTACGTACCAAGCTATTTGGGTTCATTATGTTTTCTTCAACAATTTTTTGTTGCTGCGTCCTGGATTTAGAATTATAAAAACCTAAAATAATCAGAGCTATAATCTTCCGGAAGAGCATTAAAAATAAAATCTATAAGGCTTTTTGGTGCAATTGCATTTTCTTGATTAGTTTTTTTTATAATTTCATTAATGGAAACTTTGGTAACGGTAATCAACGTATATTTTTAGAATAGTGTGTTTATTGGATTTCATACTTTTAACAATCGCTTTTCACTTTAAAGTTTCGAAGAAACAAAATTACTTACTAAATCAAATCATAAATTATCATTCGGCAAATATTTTTATCAGGTATTTCAAAATTTATACAACCAATTACATGAAAAAGCTCTATAGACCAGCAAGAGCTACAATTGATAAATAATATTATTGTACATTTTACACTACATCTTATAAAAGCTCGGGTAACTTAACTTTCTATGAAACGAGAGTAAATTTAACGGATTAATTAATGCTTTCGCTTTGCCTTATCATATTCTATTCCAAAACTTTTTTTTTTGCTAATTGGCCGATTTACTAAAATTCGAGATACGATTGGTTGATAATCATGTGTAACCATATTGTACGGAACACTAATTTTCAACTCTACTGACGACCAATAGTAAATGCGTCTATTAGACAGCTAGGGTCAATATGAAACAACCTTCTGCGCATTAATGAAAAGTTTTCCTTGTAATATTTCGGTATAAATGGTACCTTTTGATCCTATTTAATGGCAATATCCTAACCATAACCTAAACTGCACGAGATTTTTACAGCAATAATTTTTTGGGTAGTGATTCGTATTCCCCGGCGTTCGTTACACAATCTGCGTGACAAAAACTTTTTGAAGCGTACATATAAACTGATCTGATCTACTAACACTAGGGCACCTAACCGCAAAGATCAGAAAGATCAGAAGAATAATTTTAATGCCTCAGATCACTTTTGAATTTTTTAGAGTTATATGACTTTTGACTTTCGGGATTTCGGTTTCACGCTTTGGCACGATGAATTTACCGAAAGTATTTCGGCACGCCAAAATACTTTCGGTAGGAAACCTTAGGCCTGTATTTAAACAAACTCCTATATTGCTTCTCATTCAACCATTACATAACGAAACACACTTCCGAAGTACGTTTAACTGGAATAAACATTCACTTTCGACTTATTCTCAAGCTTTGTACAATTTAAAATCAAAGTCGCACGCAGCAAATCTCAGCCTAAATTCGTCAGAAAGCTCTGATAGTGGTTCGAAAAATAACGGCCAACAGGGAGAAAGCGGCGACGGTGGTGATAATCAAAATAATTCGAACAGCAATAACAATGCGGATAATCCTGGCAATGGAAATAAGGGTGATGGATCAGGGAAAGGCGGTGATGGGTCGGGAGACAACACTTCTTCTCGATCACCGTTTGAGAATATTCATAGAACTTTGCACATTTTGGAAACAACTTTGCAAAGACCTTCTATACCGGAGGTATATCCGCAAGTTTTGGCTCTTCCTATTGCTCGCCGACCTCTTTTCCCTGGATTTTATAAAGCTGTCGTGATTAAAGATCCCAATGTCACAGCTGCCGTAAAGGAATTAATGAAACGTGGCCAACCTTATGTTGGTGCATTTCTACTTAAAGACGAAGAATTAGATGTAGACACTATTACAGATATTGCACAAGTGTATAAAGTTGGTGTATTTTCCCAAATTACGAGTGTTTTTCCAGCTAACGGTGGTCATGATGAAAATTCATTGACCGCTGTCTTGTATCCTCATCGACGCATTCGTATCAATGAACTTTTACCACCTTTACCAGCCAGTGTTTCTGAGGCTGAAATAATTTCTCAGCCAGTACAGCAAGCTTCTGAAACGAGTGCTAATAAAGGTATTATTTGTCGTAGTAAAGTTCTCTTCATCAGGATTCACATTTAATTAACTCGACCGTTTTGAACTAATCAACAGAACCTGAACCACAATACGCTACATCTTTTCTTGAAGATTATAATGTCTCTCTAGCAAACGTTGAAAATCTCAATGATGAACAGTATAATAGAAAGAACCAAGTAATTCGAGCAATAACCTCAGAGATTGTAGCAGTTTTCAAAGATATAGCAACATTGAATCCACTTTTCCGTGATCAAATTGCAAATTTTTCCATGTCTCAAGCTGCTGGCAATGTTTTCGAAGAACCTGCAAAACTTGCTGATTTTGCAGCTGCTGTTTCAACTGGAGAACCAAACGAATTACAGGAAGTTTTAGAAAGTTTGGTTATTGAAGAACGTTTACAAAAAGCTTTACTTGTTCTAAAAAAAGAGCTAGTCAATGCCCAAATACAAAGCAAAATAAGCAAAGAAGTTGAATCTAAAATTGCAAAGCGTCAAAGAGAATATTACTTAATGGAACAATTGAAAGGAATTAAAAAAGAATTAGGGATTGAATCAGATGGCAAGGATAAGCTCATTGAAAAGTTCAAAGAAAAGGCTGATAAACTCGCCATGCCTGATAATGTTAAGAAAGTTTTTGATGAGGTAAATTCAATTTATCTTGCACAAAATTTGTACGTGAACATAGATTGTTCTTAAATGTTCTGTTCATTCTCAGTATTTCGTTCATTTCACCAGGAAATCAATAAACTAGCTCATCTAGAGCCTGCAGCTTCTGAATTCAACGTTACACGTAACTATTTAGATTGGTTGACCCAGATTCCATGGGGCCAAAGTTCCCCAGAGAATTACAACATTAAGCATGCCATGAAAGTGCTTGATGATGATCATTACGGACTACAAGATGTAAAGGATCGGATATTAGAATTTATTGCTGTTGGTAAACTAAGGGGCACAGTGGAAGGAAAAATTTTATGCTTTGTTGGGCCTCCCGGTATTTAACGTTGTAATAACTTTCACATATATGATTTCATGTATTTTCTATAAAATAGTAACTAACGATTTCTTAAAGGTGTTGGTAAAACCTCTATTGGGAAATCAATTGCACGAGCTTTATCGCGGCAATTTTATCGTTTTAGTGTCGGTGGCCTTACTGATGTTGCCGAAATAAAAGGACATCGTAGAACTTATGTCGGTGCTATGCCCGGTAAAGTTGTCCAAGCCTTAAAAAAGGTACAGACCGAAAATCCATTGATTTTGATTGATGAAGGTAATTGTTCTTTAGCTGACATCCACAATACAATAATGTATTTATATAATTCAAATTGAAATCATGCATTATTGATTGTAGTCGACAAAATTGGTCGTGGACACCAAGGCGATCCTTCATCAGCGCTCTTGGAACTTCTTGACCCGGAGCAAAATTCATCATTTTTGGATCATTATATGGACGTTCCAATTGATCTTTCTAAAGTGCTCTTCGTTTGCACTGCTAACGTGGTAGACACGATACCCGTTCCATTGCTAGATCGTATGGAAGTAATCCACTTATCTGGATATGTTGCTGATGAAAAGGTTGCTATTGCTTCAAAATATCTTTCACCAACTGCCAAAGAAATGGCTGGCTTGCAAAATGCGGATGTTCAGCTGCAACAAGATGCCATTGAGACTTTGATCCGGTCATACTGTCGTGAAAGTGGTGTTCGTAGCCTAAAGAAACACATAGACAAAATTTATCGAAAAGCAGCTCTTAAAATAGTGCGCGATATTGGCGATGAAGAATTATCACAAGAACTTGATAATGTTGAAACCGAAACTTCTGATAAAACTAAAGAAAATAGTGTTGCCATCACTACTGAACCACGAAAACCTTTAAATTTACCTGACGATATTCATGTTGGCATTACCGCCGAAAATTTGAAGGATTATGTTGGACCTCCACTGTGGCATTCAGATCGTTTATATGATCGAACTCCTCCTGGCGTCGTTATGGGATTGGCGTGGACCAGCATGGGTATGTTCGTTACGATTTTATTATTAACGTATTTACTTCATTAAATACTTTTATTGAAAATTTTATCTAATTTAAATTCAGGCGGTTCTGCATTATATATCGAATCTACTCTTGATTCAATTCTTTCTCCAACTTCGAAACCATCCCTCTCTAAAACCGGTCAATTGGGAGATGTAATGAAGGAATCTTCTACTATAGCATATACATTTGCTAAAAGTTTAATGGTACGACAATATCCGGGAAACAAATTTTTTGAAAGGGCTTCGATTCACCTTCATGTGCCTGAAGGCGCAACCCCAAAGGATGGTATGTAATTTATTATTATTGATTTTTTTTTTTTTTAATACATTATGTTTATGCGTGTTATTACCAAAATAATGCATAGGCCCTTCTGCCGGTATTACCATGGCAACATCACTCCTTTCACTCGCCTTATCTAAATCTTTAGATCCAACTATAGCAATGACTGGTGAACTCACTCTTACTGGTAAAATTTTAAAGGTTGGCGGAATTCGAGAAAAAGTAGTAGCAGCCAAGAGATCCAGTGTATCGACCTTAATATTTCCGAAAGCTAATACTAGCGATTGGGAAGAGTTACCCGAAAATATTAAGGAGGGACTTACAGGTGTTCCCGTTGCTGATTATGACGAAGTCTTTAATTTTGTTTTTGGTACTATTAGTAGAGAGCAAGCAAAACAGGTTTGGGATTTGATGCTCGCATCACAATCGGTTGAATCTGAGGATAAAAAAGGAATGGCGGCAGAACTTACAGAACAATTATAATATTCTAATTAATTTTTTATGGACTTTTTTTTGAAAGTATTAATTTGTATTTCTGTTAGTTAATTCGCGTTCTAGTCATTATCGGCTTGGTAATAATAATTATTGAAATCAATCTTTTAGAACTAATAAAAATACGATCACTTCACAGAACCTTACATTATCTGTAGAATTGGTGCATTACAATTATTTTTTGATCGATATAACACTGTAGAAATTTACTTAATTCGGTTGATAAAATTTCAAACATAAGTGTTATTTTACCACTACAGGTTTTGCTAGGGATGGTGAAGTCCTTAGGTCAGGACTTTAGAACCTAGTAGTGTTTGTAGTCGACTTAAGTTTGTTGACTTGATTAAGGATGTTCTCAAGCACCTCATTCAATAAATCGAAGACAAAGTTTTAATTAGTCGAAATTGAATAAATTAACCAAGGGAGTTACCACCTTGATGAAAAAAATCTAGAAGTGCAGAAAATCTTCTTTTTTCATAGGGTTGTTCTGATTGAATCTGCATTTCACACACGATTAACCACTCAATTGATCATGACAATTTGAGCAACATCCCGATCACTAACTAATCAGGATATATTAGTGGAGCAGCCAAAATTCAGCGGATCGACCCAAATTTAAGGTTGGAATAAGGTCCAGGGCTAGGCCGGCATTAAGCAATAATACCAGTCAACTATACCACAGTATAATTATCATCTGGGCAGCTTTACTTAGTACGTGGGCTACCATTTTATTAGTAAAATTTTGGGAGATATTTATCAATATAGGCCTATTCCGACCCCGCTTTTTTGTTGATCGGCTGAATTTTACTAATCTGTACCATGTTAGAAAATCCCGAGCTGCCGACCAAAAAATTTGGGTCGTATTATTTCAAAAATTCCCTATTAGAAATTGTGTTCTAAAAGTAAAATTTAATTCTGAAACTTAGGAATTTGTCATAGTAAATTCACGTTTGATTTGTTACACGAGATTCCGAATTTTATTGGATCCGGTTATGGTCGGAAGTGATCTTCAGCTCGGGATTTTTTAAACTTAAAGGCGTCCTAAGAAAAAAATTAAAAATTGACTGATCAGCTTGGTTTAGTTGGTTAGAGTTAATTTTTTTTAAAGTAATATTACATGATACTGTATTTTATCAAATTGAGAATTAATATTTTAGTTATTAGATGGTTATAATAAAGTTTAAAACAGATATAACATAGTTATAAACTTTTACTAGCCAATTTTATATATAGGTTTTGCATACCAACTTCGTACAAACTGACAGTCAAATTCGTACAAACAGACAGTCAAATTTGTACAAATTGACTGTCAAATTCGTATATAACACTTTTAATTAAATCACAATATCTCGTGACCTAGTAACTTAAATTATGTAAATTTGGTATTTTGATTCGTCAAAATTAGATGAATCAAATGGTATCAAATTTATATAATTTAAGTTACTAGGTTACGAGATATTGCAATTTAATTAAAAGTGTTATATATGAATTTGACTGTCAATTTGTACAAATTTGACTGTCTGTTTGTATGAATTTGACTGTCTGTTTGTACAAATTTGACTGTCAGTTTGTATGAAGTTGGTATACAAAACCTGTATATATTGCAAATTTTAGATTTTATACATATTAATAAAATTTTGTTGAAATTTGTTAATGATATTTTTTTTATATAAAATATTTAAGTATCTTTTTTTGATTTAATTATTAATCAAAATAAAATTATTTAAAAAAATAATATTAGTGTTAGCAAAAACAAAAAATATTAATTAATAAAAAAAATTTTTTTATTATTTTAATAGTTTTATTAAAAGGGTATGGGTTCTATAGCTTAGCAGTTAAGCTTCTATACTCTTCACAGTTAAGGTTAATGGTTCAAATCTGGCTGAAGGCAAAATTGAAAGATTTTAATTTCTGTAACCTAATAAGAAGCCTATAATTAAACATGAAGTTCTGTGGTTAAAAGTTCAAGTGTAATACAATAATGGAAATAGAAATTCCCAGAAAGAAACCCAATTATGAAGTAAAGGCATTATATGTAACAAGCGGTTGTTACAGAAGGTTACAGTTATAGAAGGATTGCATATATAAGTCTTTTAGGCTAGGGTAACACTAACATTCTTATACCTCCCAATATAGGCAATACCAACATACTTGCATCCAACTTGTGAGATACTTGCTTGAAAAAATAATTAACAGATTGTACAAATAAGTCTTAATTGGGATCCAAGAAAAGGATTTGATTAGGAGAATAGTTTGATAAATAATCAAGACTGGAATGATAAGAAAAGTGGTGAACATGCAGATAAACTGTGATAAAGAATTGGTCTAACCAAAATTGGAAGTACCTCTGACACAGTCGAATAATCTAATTATAGAAAGGAAGATCTTGAAGGTAGACATATAACTTCTTTGTACAATATAAAAGTACTAAATTAGGTTCTGGTTGTATTTATATAGAAGTCTATGATGAACAAGATTAAGGATCAACCAACCAATATGAGATTAGATTTGCAAGATAGTATAGCATCACTGGAGTCAGTATAACTTCCTGAGCATAACCAGAATTGTCTTACAGTTATTATCAAATAAACTAGAAACTTGCAATACATAGTAGTATAGTATCACTAGGGTTGGAGGAACTCTCTAGATATAATCAGAATTGTTCTGTTTGTAAGTACAACAAGTCCCAGTCTCTACTATAAAAGGAAGTACCATGTTGGAGGTTAAATGTAGCATTAAGTTACTGTATGATATTAAAACCTGAGGCATCTACAAGAATGACAATAACAGGTTTGGCTTGAGATACAGATTGGTCAAAAAGACTAATGGTGATAGCAAATTTGGTTTGTGATATAGGTTCATTGCAGATTCTAGATCATTATCAGAACACCTTAAAGAAATCAATAACAGGTAAACCAAAAATGGGAAGATCATAAAAATCAGACATATCTGAGTAGGACCAATTTGGAAGTGATATAGTGACGAAAAGGTATGAAATGTAGAGAACAAGGTAATACTAGATATAGTTAAATTAGGAGGCAGAAGAAACAAGACCAGGTAATACATGTGAGTGGGATATATGAGTATGATTTACAGAAGACAGTACCCCTGGCATTTGGGATGCCATATTAAGTTTGGTAGATATTCTTGTCTGTGTAGTGGTTTAATATATGCCATGACTGCAAGTAGTTGCCAAGATAACTGCATGCAGGCATGTAGTTGCCAAGATAACTGCATACAGGCATGCAGTAGACATGCACTTAGATGCCATAAGGGTAATCAGGTGAAGTCAGTAGTATTAAATTAGATAGTATATAGTACTAGTAATAATTGATTCTAAAATGTAATTATAAATTTGTATTATATCAAATTAAGGCTAATAAAAACTAACTGACATTGTTGCCAAAGTTTAAAAAAAAAATATATATATAGTTTTATTAATAATTTTTATTAAAATTTTTGTAAATATTTAATTTAATTTGATTTGATTATATATTTAAGTTTAAATCAATTCAAATTTAAAAATTTTCAAATTAAATCAAATTTAAATATAATTAAATTTGATTTAACAAATATTTAATTTAATTTAAAAATTTTTTAGAAGTATAATAACTTAGTGAAGTAAATAAGTTGTCAATTTTTCAAATAGTAGCTTGTGAATTCAAAACTCATCAATAGTAAAAATTTGAATAATTACTTATATAATATATAAATAATATTATAATAATGATATTTTATGATCAGTTAAAATAAGATATCTGTAATTATAATCATATCAACATAACTGGCAGATTAGAAAATATTCATATAACTGTTTATATAAAGAAATACAAACTAGTAATAGGCAATACAAACTCAAAATAAGTTCTTGTGATTTTGTAAATATTTAATTTAATTTGATTATATATTTAAGTTTAAATTAATTCAAATTTAAAATTTTCAAATTAAATCAAATTTAAATATAATTAAATTTGATTTAACAAATATTTGATTTAATTTAAAAATTTTTTAAAAGTATAATAACTTAGTGAAGTAAATAAGTTGTTAATTTTTCAAGTAGTAGCTTGTGAATTCAAAATCCATCAATGCTAAAAATTTGAATAATCACTTATGTAATATATAAATAATATTATAATAATGATATTTTATGATTAGTTAAAATAAGATATCTGTAATTATAATCATATCAACATAATTGGCAGATTAGAAAATATTCATATAACTGTTTATATAAAAAAATACAAACTAGTAATAGGCAATACAAACTCAAAATAAGTTCTTGTGATTATGTAAATCTATAAAACTAAAAAGTCAAACCCTATTTAAAAAGACTTGAATGAAGAAATAATACAGATTTTTAACAATATTACTATAAAAGCTAGACCTAGGAAACAGATACTAATATAGAAAAATTAGATAAACAAAAACTTTAGATGAAGGTTTTATTAACTAGACTGTCAAACAAAAACAAGAGATAGTTGCCTATAACAAATTAATAATAAAGATAAAGACAAAATCTCACCTTAATACAAAATAAATAAATAAATTAAAAATAAAAAAAAATAAAAACAAAAATATACTATAAGTATTAGAAATATACTATTCTTTAAACTATAAACTATTTTCAGACAAATTTTTTTAGAAAATTAATAAAAATATACTTATAATCTGTATTTTTTAAATTTTAAAATATTTAAATAAAATTTTATTTAATAATATTTAAAAATAAGAATTATAATAAGATGTAATAACCTAGTGAAATAATCAGATTGTCAACTCCCAAGTAGCAGTTCCAAAGTTCAAATCTTAGTGTTGACAAAAAATTTAAACATCTTAACTATACGTATTACAGTTAACTATCTCTTACAATTAGTTGAGATAAGATATCTGTTATCTGTATTGCACTAATATAACTGACAGGTCACATGGTATTTGTATAAGTTATATAACATTGTCTTTTAGAACAAGATCTATGGTTATATAAAGAAATGCAAACCAGTACCAGGTGGTGCAAACCTACAATAAGTTCTTGTGGCCATGTTAATTATAAAAACCAAATAAAGAAAGATAGAAGCTTACTTGAAAGACCTGAATAGAAAGATAATATAAACTTTCAATAATGCTACTATAAAGACTAGATTTATGAAACAGAGTTAGAACTTGTAAAACTAAACAAATATGCTAGTTTTTAAGAAGAAAACAGATAAACCAACCAGGTCTGTTAGAATTTCTAGATTTCAGAAAAAAAAAATACATGCTAACAAACATGTAAACCAGAGGTATATGATTATGATCTACTTTTTTGAGTTATCTGGAATAGCAGCTTAATAGAACTTGAATTGAATACTAAAGTAATAAAGATATAATGTGAAGTTAGTATCAGAGTTAGGGTAAACTCTATAAGAGCATAGCAGTTTAATGATACATTCTAACTATCAGTATTGATCTTGGTTATAATGATACCAAGTTATCTGTAAAAATGAAATACAGAAGATTCTAAAAGGTTTAGTACAAGTCAAAAATTCCAAAAAACTGCTTTAAAGACTTAGTAGCAATGATATATTTTTATCAGCATTGGTCAGGATCATTGGTAGGCAGAAGTAGGTCAGTGAATATAGAAACTAGAATGGTTAAATAGAGAACCTACAAGCAGGTTCCAAGTATAACAACTAGTATAGAACCTTCAGACAGACTACTTAAATTAAACAATAGCTAAAGTTGTATGAGTAGCTAGTTGTATATTCTTTTTATAATTGTCTCCTGTAGTTGTAATGCAACCATTAGCCAAATATACTATTAATAAAATCCTGAATCACAAGTACTCACCTTAATATTTAAAAAAAAAAATAAGAATTATAATATAATAATATTTAATTTTATATTATAAGAAAAAAAGATTAAGTTACTTATAAGCTACAAATAGACAAATTTAAAAAAAATTTTTAATCAAAAAAAATATTCACTAATTCTTAGCAAACTCTTTAAATATTAGTTTTAAACTTATAGTTTTTAATACAATATTATAGCTTATATAAAAAATAACAACTTTTATTAATACAATTTTTTTTAATTTACTTATAAAAATTTAGATTTGTATTAAAAATAAAAATTTTTTTAGATTTAAAAATATATAAAATTTTGAAAAGTTTAAAAAAATTTTTTATAATAAAAATTTTTAAACAAA